CTTGAATAACCGCTCAAAGCACAAAGGTTGAACAACAGCTCACAGCATAAAGCTTGAATATCAGCTCACAGCATAAAGCTTGAATATCAGCTCAAAGCATAAAGCTTGAATAACAGCTCAAAGCATAAAGCTTGAATAACACAGCCCCAGGCACACAGCCCCGAAGATACAACGCCCGTACAGCGCCATGGCCCCGCCCATATACGTCAAAGGCGGCGCGTGGACCAACGTCGAGGACCAGATTCTCAAGGCCGCCGTGTCCAAGTACGGGCTCACGCAGTGGTCGCGCGTGGCGTCGCTCCTCCCCCAAAAAACCGCCAAGCAGGCCAAGGCGCGGTGGAACGAGTACCTCAACCCCACCATCGACCGCAGCACGTGGACCCGCGAGCTCGACGAGCGGCTCTTGAGCGTGGCCAAGCTCTTGCCCAACCAGTGGCGCAGCATCGCGCTGGTCATGGGCCGCCCGGCCACGCAGTGCGTGGAGCGGTACCAGGCGTTGCTCGAGGCCGCGGCCCGGAGCGGCGACAGCCCCGAGAACTCCGGACACTCCGACCCCGCCGATCACCCCAGCGACACCGCAGACTTGGGGCTCGCGGCCCTGGGCGTCGAGAGCTTGCCCGCCTTGGGCAACGCCTTCGAGAGCCTCGCGTCGCGGCCGGACGCCGAGGACATGGCCGACGACGAGCGCGAGATGCTCTCGGAGGCCAAGGCGCGGCTCGCCAACACCCAGGGCAAGAAGGCCAAGCGCAAGGACCGCGAGCGCATGCTCGACGAGAGCCGGCGCGTGGCGCTCTTGCAGAAGCGGCGCGAGCTCAAGGCCGCGGGCATCGCCGTCGGCCCGGCGCACAACAGCCGTGCCCGCACGGCCGGCTTCGACTACAACGCGGACATCCCGCACGAGCGGCGGCCGCGCCCGGGGCTCCACGACGTGACGGGCGAGGACGCGCTCAACGCGGCCGCCAGGGCTGGGTTCCAGCGGGCCGTCGCGCAGAAGGGGCTCCCCGCGGACGCGGCCAAAGACACGGCCGCGGCCAGACGCGGCGCCACGCGGGCCAAGGCCAGCACGCGCCGCGCGGCGGAAGCCGTGTCCGGGCTCGACGCGGCGCAGCATGCCAAGCGCCGCAGGCTCGAGCTTCCGCCTCCGCTTCCGCTTGCGGGCCCGGCGCCGCCACGCGCGTGCGGTAAACAGGCGGCGCGTCTGTTGCGCGGGCTCCTCGCCACGATGCCGCCGCCGCGGGAGGCGACCCGCGTCGTGTTCCCCCGGCTCGCGGGCCCCGGGGCCCTTCTGCCGGAAGCCACGGGCGCCCACGGCGAAGGGCCGGCGGCAGCGCAGCTTGCTTTGCTCCGACAGGTGGACGACGAGAAGGTGCGGGCGCGGCGGGCACTGGCCGTGCGCCGCGGGCTTCCGGTGCCCGGCGCCGACTGGGAGCCGCTGGCCGCTGGCGCCGCCGGGCCCTGCATGGACGCCATCGCCAGCGAGTGCCGGGCGCTTGTGCAGCACGACCGGGCGCCGGGCATGGGGCCGGGCTACGTGGACGACGCGATGGTGGCGCGCGTCGAGGCGCTTGTAGCCGGGGATGTCGGGGATGTCGGGGGTCGCGGGGCTGAGGGTGACGGTCAGGGCCTGCCGGCCGAAAACAAGGACCCCGCTCCACTGCACTCGCAGGCCGCGCGGCCCGGGCCCCTCCCCCGGCTGGAGCACGCCATCACGAGGGTGTTTGAGCTTCTCCACGCCTTGGACGCCAGTGCCAACGAGGCGGACCAGAGACTGGCCATTCTCGAGGACACGCGCGCAGCGGCCGAGACCCGCACGGCGCTCGAGAGGCAGATTGCCGACAACGCCCGCGGCCTTGCCGAAGCGGACCTCCAGGAGCGCGTGCTGCGCAGAATCCAGTGGGACGAGGAGGCCGCGATGGACAGGCGCGCCGCGGCGCTTTCCGAGCGGGTCGAGGACGTCAAGCGTGCCGAGCGCCGCGTGGCCCGCCACGAGGTGATGTGAGGCGTCGACGGCGTGTGTGCTTGTCGCTTGTTTAGGGTTCCCGGTTCCGCCGGATGGGCCTTTGCCGACGTGTGCTGGGTGCTGGGAAACGCAGTGGCGGCGGCGGTCCAAATGCCCAGGAGCTGCCATTGGGCAGCCCAGGAAAGCGGACCGGACAGCTCAGATTACTGGATGGACAGCTCAGATTACTGGATGGACAGCTCAGATTACTGGATGGTAGTCCAGATTACTGGATGGACAGCTCAGATTATT